TCTGTGGTTTAGGAAGAGAAGGCTACCACAGGAAATGATCAAGCTTTAAGGTCTTATTTTTTCAATCCTTTGTTCTCCTGGTCCAAAAGAATTTCTATCATGGCCCTCAAGGCACACAGAGGCAGAACTACACTTATGGTGGAGACCCTCCTCAACTTTCTCCAGACGCTGCATGCCTGTGAAATGGTGGAAGGGTTTGTGTGCACCCATGGTGCTCATTGCTATCCTGGCAGTAAAGTCTCCTAAACTGGACAGATAAAGATGAGCTCTTGGGACAAGTAGACAGTCTTCTAAATTAGGAACTGGACATAAGACCAAATCTTGTCTTTCATTTGAAAATTATTCAAGAAACTGCCACATAAACTTTGTGAAAATCCAGTTGCCTGTGGGTCAGACACTGGATAAGTGTTAGAAGACAGTGTACTTCCAAGTGCATCATTTACATCTTGTTTGATAGTTGGCTCTACCTATGGATGAAGGGACAGAAGTGAGCAAAACCTCTAAGTCTATATGAGGCAGCAGCAGGAAACACTCTTGAAAAGAAGTGATGGAGAAGTCCTGAAAGCAGCCATTGTGCTCCAGGGTCTGTAAAACTAGAAGGCAAATGATCTTTCTGAGATAACCAAAGCAAAACCTAATTATTGTACAGATTTTTGCTAGGTAAATCATCAAGGTCACTCATTAGGCACCTCTGATTAACCTAAATAGATAAATAAAATGCTTAATGGGTGAAAAACAACATTCATAAGGTGGCAAAGGTAATTTTTCATAAAAATATAAAATAAAAGTATTTGGAATACAATCTGACTGAGAAGGCAAGAATTTGTGATTTAGAAAGAGTATAGGATCAGCTAGATTATCTCATCTGTTACCCCCTTGTCTCTTCTTCCTGAAATAAGAACTGAAGGAAATCCCAGTTGCTGTATGTTGTGGTTTAACCCTAGCCAGCAACTAAGCACCACACAGCTGCTCACTCACTCTCTACCCCCATAGGGATGGGGAAGAGAACTGGAGGAGGGGGTAGGAAAGCAAAATTCATGGGTTGAGATAAAGAGAGTTTAATGGGACAGAAAAGGAAGGGGAGGAAATTAAAATATACAAAACAAGTGATGCATAACAATAGTAACAGTAGTAGTAATAATAATATGAGTATACAAAACAAGTGATACACAGTGCAATTGCTCACCACCTGATGCCCAGCCAGTCCCTGAGCAGGGACCCCAGGCAGCTTTCACCCCAGTTTGCAAACTGAGCATGTCACCACACAGGATCCCTTTGTCCAGTTCTGGTCAGCTGTCCTGGCTGTGCCTCCTCCCATCTTCTTGTGCCTCCCAGTCTACTTACTGGTGGGGAGGTGTGAGAAGCTGAAAAGTCCTTGACTTTTGAGTAAACACTGCTTAGCAACAACTGAAACATTAGTGTGCTATCAACACGATTCTCAGATTAAATCCAAAACACAGCAGTGTACCAACTAAGAGGAAGAAAACTGATTTTATCCCAGTTCAAACTGGGAGACAATAGTACTCAGGGTGGTCAGCAGATACCTGACAGACGCATTGCTTTGAAATATGTTAACTGGGAGCAACCAAAAAAAAGGGTGAAATTCTGCTCTCAGGGTTGATGTCTATCCGCATCTTTTACTACAGACCTCATCTTTGTTAAAGAATGGTTTTCTCTCGACTGGCAGCAAGGCTTAAAGTGCAAGACAAGACTGCAAGTAGCCCTCTACTATTTCAAGCATTTGTAATTATGCACTTTAAAAAGGCAGACGTGATGTGTTCTGGAATTCCATCATATGGTTGAGAGCCCAGTAAAATTCAGATATTCTAGTTTCACTAGGTGTTTGTAATTTAAAGTTTTGCTCCAAATCAGAATAGAAGAATTCTTTACCTTGAGAAAGTTGTGGAGAACCTTAATTTCAGATTGACGGTAATAAGTGACAGCTTTTTAAATTTTTGTATTATTTTGTAATATATAATATAAAAGGAAATATTTTGAAACCAAAACTCATTTTGAAGGAAGAAATTGAAATGTTTAGTTTGGAAATGTCACAGCGAGATGTTCCCACACTGTTGGAACATCCTTCACCACTTACTCTTTTTTAAATCACATTTCCAGTGCAACTGACACAAGTTTGAAAAGCACTTTGATTTTTACAGGGTCGCATTTTCCAGTGGAAAGCTGTTCTTTCAGAGGTTTTCCAACCAGCTCTGCTAGGAACAGGTGTCACAGGATTGCAACAAGCTTTCCTTTGCCAAATTGCTAAATTGCAATCAGGATCCTGGAAGAGGGGCTGAGGTGGGCAAGGCAGGAGAGGTCACAGGATGCCCCACAGAGAAGAAGGTTGAGAACCCGGTGTTTGAATCACCTCTGGCTACCCATACGTCATGTCTCCTGTGGAAGTGTTATAACTGTACTCTGAACTGGCAGTAGCAACTGTAGGGGATTTTAGGGGGGAAAAAACCCTCAGTGTGTGGGCATGGTGACATGTTCAACCCTACAATTTCCCTTTCTACCATACAAGTTTAGAAGTGATGGAAAGAAGGATTATGCTGAGACTGAAGTAACTCCCAGTTAAGGATGGGGATCATTAGGAAGCCACAAATGTGGAGGTGGGATGAGCAGTAACACGTGCCCTTATATTCTCTCTGAGGGTTGATTTTAGTCTGGTGATGTCCACTCGATGTGACTTGTCTTTGCAGAGGGGATGTGTCCCTCCACAACTGCGGAAGACATGTTTAACTTGGTAGGTTCACATTAAAATCAAAAGTATCCAACTCTTTCAAAGAGTTAAAAAAAAAGAAGTTGTAGTCCTCTGAGAAAGAGAGGTCAGTACTTTCTGAAATGCACAGCCAAAGAGAAATCTGATCTGATTTAATGCAGTCTTAAACTAAGTTCTTTTTACACACCACTTCTGAATGACCAAACAGACGGACTGACTAATACCAGAAACTCAAGCTGGGCACAAATGAGTTAGCCTTTTTTCCCCCTCCACTTTTCTCACAGGGTGTGCCAGTTGAAATTATCTCCTTTCTTGTTAATTTAACGATTACCATCAGAAAGAGCCAGTGGTGGAAAAATTATAGGCAGTAATTATGATCTTGCAGACTCGCTGTGGGATTCAATGCAGGGAAAACACTGGATTGTGAGAATGAGGCTGTACTGCTCAGTAGATGCACTTCAGTGGATGGAGCCCTGAGATTTTGGTTGCCTCGGACCTTGGGGGCCCAGCTTGAGAAGCCTTCAAGAGGAAGAGTCAATGTTAGATGGCAGGGACATCTCGAGTTGGACACCCCTAAAAAAAATATAGCCACCCAAAATCTTTAACTCTCACTCAGGAAGACCTGAGTCCTTTTTTTTTTTTTTTTTTCCCTGAGAAATAAGGAATATGGCATATCCTTCTCCATGGGTGGATGGACCAGTTAACGTCTTTAGACACTATGTCAAATGATAAATATTTATCATCTTTCTGTATTAATTCGTGTGAAGACAAATACATATTTATGACACTGCAGAGGCAAAAGCACACGGAGCAAAGCCAGCTGGATATTGCGCTCTTTAGGAACTGGCTGTTGAATAAAGCTCAGCTTGCCGGTTGTGCCCATTCCCCGTTCGCCTTTGGAGGTATCTCGCCCCTCAGCACTTCTGAGGGTTGCCATGACGGCTGTCGCATGAGTCCCAGAACACCCAAGGCGGGACACAAGGATAGTGAGGAAAAGGGAAATAAACGATGGCAGAACTCTAGTGTTTCACAGGAAAAACTGGGACGGAGAAGGGACGCCCCACGCGGACAGACACGGCCGCCAACCCACCCATCCCCTGGGTGCGCCAACGCCGCGGCAAGCGCGGGGCCGGCCCGGCTCTCCCAGGCCACGCCGGCGTGTGGCCGGCCGGGCCCCCTCGGGGAGGGAGTGCTGTCCGCCCCCCGCGGGCCGGAGGAGGCGCTGCCTTCCACATTGGTCCGGGGCCGGCGGCGCCGCCTCCCCCGGCCCGGTTACCCGCGGCCAGCGGCGGGGCGCGCCGCGGCGGAGCGCCAGCAGGACGGGCTCACGGCCGGTCATCGCCCACGGCCGCCGGGCCGCCGGCACGTCCCCACACGGACGGTGTGGCCGGGCCCGCTCTGCGCCGCCCGCCCCCGCGGTGTCCCTGCGTTCCCCGTGTCCCTGCCCTCGGGAGAAGTTTGCCGCCGCCGCCCGTCCGCCCCGGCGCTGCCCGCGCGTGCAGGGCGCCTCCGCCGCTGCCAGGCCCGGGACAAAAGGCACACACTGACACGGATGGCGCCGGGCTTCATAAATGGGACCGGAGCGGGGCGGAAAGCGGGGGACGCAAGCGGCGGCGTGTGTCGGAGCCGCCCGGGCGCCCGGCGGCTCCCGCGCTGCCTCCCCGCGCCGAGCGGCGGCGGGCGAGGCGCGGGAGGAGGAGGGCGGGCGGCACAGGGCGGCGGCGGCGGCGGCGGCGGCGGCAGGGTGGCGGAGCCGGCGTGCCGCCTGATCCGGGCGAGCGAGGGCGACGGTGGTCGGAAAGGAGGCGCCGAGGGGAGGGAAGGGAAGAAAGGGAGGCAGCCGGGGGAGAAGTCTCCCACTCCTCCTTCCCCTCACCCGGCACCGCCTCCTCGGCGCTCCCCAGTGCTGGGGTGGCCGGGCGGGGCGGCGCTCACGCTCCCTGCCTGGGTCGGCGCGGCCGGAGCGGGCGGGGGACGCGGCCGGTGCCGTGCGGAGGGTAAGGACGGCGCGCGGAGGGGGAGCGGGAAGGACCCGCGAGTGCCCCGCGGTCTGGGGCCAGGGACCCGTTGTCCCCATCAAAGTTTGTTGACGGCGTGGGTAGGACGGGGATGACACCGCCTGCCCCGACGGCGGAGCGGGCGGAGGGGAGAGAGCTGCCTGCGGAGCATCCCTCCCCGGGATCTGCCGCTGAGTCCCGCGGCGATCGCGACCTCCGCTGCGGCGGGGGCAGGGCAGAGCGCGGGTTTCGCCCCTACCCCAGGCACGGCCCTGCGCCGCCGCCTCGGGCTGCTGGGACCAGTTGGAGGGTGCCCCGGGACCACCCGGGAAAAGCTGGTGGTCCGAGGAGCGGGGTTTGGTTTCGCGAGCCCGGCCGAAGGAGGGGAGACCTGGCGGCCGAGGGGAGCCCTTCAGCGGGCGAGGGTGCGGGAGGCTGGTGGCGTTATGGTTAACACGCGTCTATTATTCTTCGGAGCCGGCAGCCTCCCGGGCTCCCACAGGACCTTATCTGACATCGGAGGTTTCTCCTCTCATCCTGACCCACTGGTGATTTGCAGCGGGTGGTATTCAGCCCGTCTTTCACGTGCACTTTTGCTCCCTAAACTCTACCTTTGACGCTGTAACCGAAATAAAAGGCGGTTCGTAATTTTGTGCGCAATGATGTTCCCTTAAAAAATGTCACTTAGAAGTCCAGCATCCTCAGAATATCCCGGTAGTGTTTTTTGGTTGGTTGGTTGGTTGGTTTTTGTCTGAAATTCGGAGCTATGGTGGGGAGAGAGCCGAAAAACAGTGAGCCTTTTAAACTTCACGCAGCGTTTGTCATGTGAAATCTTCAGCTGTTGAGAAATAATTTTGAGCCAGATGGGCTTATTTTAAATGGGCATCTTTTTGTCTCAAAGGCATCTGCAAATCTCCATTGAGAACACCCCTGGATGAGGTATGTACCAAGCCTTTGGTAGGAGAGAGCTCATTACTGTGATTGCAGTTTGATTAAGTAAAATGGTGTCAGAAGATGAAGTCCGTAGTTTTCCTTCTTTATCTAAAATTATCATCAGTGTTATTTTCCGTGTGGCAGCAAATGATGAGATTAACAGTTTTGGCACATGTTTTTTTCTTTCAGAATATAAAGGGACATCTATAACATAGAGCCAGATAGCAAAATACTCCTTGAGTATCTACAAGTTTTTAAAAAACCACATAGTGTGGCTTTTTTAACCTGTTAAAGGTGTAGTAATGTTTCTTTTTTTTTTTTCCCCCTAGATGTATCATCTTGTTTTCATTGTTATTGTTCACCCTTTCTTAAAGGAATATAGCATTCTCTGCTAGGGGTGGCACTGCTGTTAACACATACCAGGATCACTCAAAGAATCAGAGTGATGCTGAGTATGATATTTAATAACAAAATGTGCAACATTGCAAAAATTACTTGGATGTGCTTAATTCTTTTCTCATTACACCTCATATCAGCCACCACCCAAGAAAGGAAAAAAACCTCTGTGACTGTAATAGGAATATTTATTATGCAGGCTTAGAGTTTATTAAATCAGTTGTAAAAGAAATGAATGTAACATTTTTAAACAGTTCAGAGCATGAATGTGTAATTCCTGATTTGCTTGAGGTTAAAATTAGTTTTGTAGCAACCAGTAACAGCTTTGCTTTATTTTCTGTTGGTCTTTGGAATAAGAAGCAGAACCATTTGAATAAAACCATTTTAAAGCAAAATTGATAAAAGCAATAATTGTTTGACTGAGCCAGGCATCTGTTGCCAGGAGGGAAAAAAAAAGTGTTGGCTAGGTAAGGAAGCTGACTTATTTGCTGTGGGTTTAGCTTGCCAACCATTCTATCAAATCAAAATACCTATAAAACTCAAGGTGGAGGTGGAAGCAGGTTACAGTATTGTGAGGCTGGTGGACGCCTTTGATCCTGGCTGTTGTACTTTGGTGAATGATGTTAGCTCAGTTTCATAGAAGACCCCATTAAAGGCTTTCATGCTCTATTTAGGGAATGGCAGTTCTTAGCCAATACAAGCCTTTCTTTCCCTTCCCCTGTTCACAAGTTTCTGATTGGGCAGTGGAAGTTTAGAAAGAAATAACTTTTTCTTTCTTTCTTTTTTAAGCCATTTCTGACTATCAGTCTTTAATGTGGCAGTCTCAAAATGCTTGCAGACTGTCATCCCACTGGGAATTTTGGTGCTGAAAGTGTTACGCACTAGAGAGGGAGAGGTGGCATGGTTTTCAGTTCTGTTGAGTAGAGGTAGGTGAGGACATTAAGAAGCAACAGAGAATCCAAACCCGTTTGTTAATTTAGTGTTGCCCGAGATTTTTACAAATACATTGCCATTCATGGTTCTGCAGGTCTCGTGCACTCTCTTCCACTCACCTAGTTTCTCTAATTCTGCACCTTTAGAGAGAAATTACTGTAACTTCTTTCTCAGATGCAGACTTTGTGACCTCTCTAGTCATGCAGTCATCTACCTAGGCATCCACAGAATTCATTTTTCTCTACAGTGATTGCTCTTCATTTCTTTCCAGATGTCTATATTGTCTTTATCTGAGTCTTCTCATGAAACAGTAAATTGTTTTTCTGCAATTTTTTTTTTTTGTGCAATTTCCCCAATAGTTTAGGCTATGTAAAATAATGGATGTTCTACAAAACCACTCATCAACCATTTAGGTGAGAATTTGGAGATTTTTCTCTAGCAGCAAATTCACAAGTCTGATGATGATTTAAAACATGTCCTGTGGGCGACCCTGACACTGGGATTTGGCCAAGTTCAAAGCAGCTGTGCAGATGGACACAGAAGACAGAAGGCAGAGGGAAATAGACCCTTTTAATCATAACAAGGCTGCTCTTGTTTTCTTATCTATAGTGGAAATGAACACCAGCCCCTTGTACCTAAAAGCAAGCTTGCAAATGTGCCAGAATAGACAGCGAGAGCATTTGTTATTAATGCAAAATTAAAAATGTGGCAACTGTCTTCTCAGTACTGCTCTTTATGTCTCCATTTCTAGAATGACACTGTACTGCTACCAAAAGTGCACATCCCATTGCTCTTGGTGGGATAAGAATTTCCCCCCTAGAACTGAGGCCCTTTGAAAGTGCGTGGCTTTGTTAATGATCGCAGAAACCAGCTATGACCTGTCCTTTTGAAATGGTTGTAATGACTTATAAATCAATTTCTCGTTAGAGAGAACGTTTTTTTTTTCCTTTTTCCCGAAGGTGCTGTTGTTGCTCATGAAAAATGACTGGGTTTGCAACATAAGGTTGGAGCACATTTTATTCTGCCATTTGTGCCTCATGCAGGGGCATTATGGTGATGCATACCCCAAGCCTGGTTCTGCCTCTCTTCAGGGGGAACATCCTTTATTGATCAAGCTAGCAACATCCAAATTACTGACAAAATATATATTTCACTACTGGGTATGTTAGTACAATGGTTACTCGTTATACTGTGATTGGACTGTTTGGTGAAACTGGATGTTTTATACAATTCAGATGTTGTATTATTTGTGTAGGTTGAGGCTAGATGGCATCAAATAGTACCTCATCCTGTGTTAACTGTTTTATGGCAATTGTATATTCATAAGAAAGGCGTGTTAACTCACTGTAGAGTCCTGAGCAGGAACAGTTCTGTACTGTCAGTTTCCTTTCAGCCCTCACTGGAGTAGTTTCTATCTTTCTGCACTTTAGGAAACATTTCAAAGTTTGTGTTTAGGGACTTGCGGGTCTCCCACCTTCCTGTTGTGCTGAATATGTGAAACATGCTCTCAGAAATCATTGTTTTTAGTCAGTTGTATCTCTGTTTTAAGGAATGTATTACTGAAGTCCAGACCATACATGTACCTGGAAAAGTAGATGGCATATGGCATATGTGTATATACCTGCAAATAACTCAGTGGTAGATATACCAGTTTTAGATTCCTGCTTTTCCCCAGGAAGACTGTGTATAAGGGAATTCAAAAGGATATTCATCTTGCCTATATCTTTTGTATCTAAAGTTCTAGCTTGTCTGCTTGTCCTCTAGCACTTGAGATTTGAGTTTATGCATGACAAACAGTACTGCAGTGTTTCTTCCTCTCGGCATGTGGACGTTTTTTCTTTCTGTATTCCTGTTTGTAAATTTATGCATAGAAATGTATATTTGTATATACACACATACAAATAAAAAGTCATAACTGCGACCCTGAGATTAGCTCAGTTGGTCTGAGCCTGGTGCTAATAATGCCAAGATTGTGGGTTTGATCTCTGTATGGGCCACTCACTTAAAAAGTTGGACCTGATGATCTTTGTGTGTCCCTCCCAACTCAGAATATTCTGTGATCTCTCAGTATATTTTAACTATTTCTCCAAATCTGATGTAATATTGGTTGGATTCTCTCTACAATTTATTGTTCTGGCTACTTGGATATCAGATTCTATTGTAATTCTTTCTCACTTCTCCTCTTCTCTCGCTCTCTCATTTTTTTAAAAAAAGAAAAGCATCTGCATATTTCGAAGACATGCACCACTGCCAAACAATCTGGTGTAGTGGCTTAATATGCTGGCAAATAATTTCACAAGTTGTTTGTGTGTGTGAAGGCAGTATATTTTAATATCATTATATTTTGAATGTAACTATGAAGACAGTTATCTGAGCTTATTTAAATCTTATGAAAGGCCAGGCAGCTCCAGAAATTAAAGAATGCATTACATTTTTTAATTGGAGAGCATATTTTTGTCCTTCACTAATGCTGATGGTGTGGGACATCTCATTTGCAAAAAGCCTTTCTAACCTAGCTTCTGAGCATTGCCAGTATTGATGGCTTAATAATAATTTTTTGGAGAAGTAGGCTCTTGAAGACTGAGGTAGAAGGGATGTTGCTTTCAATGTATTGCTGACCTTCCATGCACTAACTTTTTGTCATTGCGTGTAAACCCCCTTTTCACTTCTGGTGTGTTTATCTGCTGTATGGATCACTCAGTGGCTCCATTTGAGCACTCTTCTCCTTTTCACCTCTGAGGTCCATATCCTGTACTTCATTTTCCTTAAGCAGTTTGATTTTAATTAATATCCCTGGCCAAATTTGCTCAGCTGATCTCTCCTGAGAGTCCTCAGCTTGTTCCCCACTGTCCATGCGTACGGTGCTGTCCTTTTTTCTGACCTTACCAAAGATGGCTTCTCAGAGTCCTTTGCGTCTTCCTTCGTTGCTTGAGTACAGATCAGAAATGGACTTTCAAAAGAGCAAGTCACTGCCTGCAGAGCAGTGGATCTGTTCTTTCTTTATGGTGAGATCTGAAAAATCCCACTAGCTATATCCTTCAGCTTACAGAGGTGTCTGAAGTTTGCATAGCTCAGAAGAGGAGGGAGAGTTTCTCCTTCACCCGATCTGCTTTCCTCCAGGTGATTACAAAGGCAACTCTTCTCTTTCTCTGCATCTCTGCCTCACAGGGGCTTCTTCCACTTCGGTCTTCCTCTCTTACCTTTCCCCACTTTGCTTCTGTCTCACCTGGAGATGTCTTATTTCCAGTATGGAGACAATAGTTATCTTTCCTCTCTCTTACCAATCCTCATCACACCAAAAACTTAACCCATATTACCTTTGCTCTTAACATCTCCTTGCTAACTCATGAAGTCTTTAATTAAAATTTGTTACAGCCAGTTTGTTGCAGGAGGATGAAAAAGCAGACATACACTCTGTGCAGTTTATGAGCATTCTCCCTGGAGCCTGATGTTTTTGCTATCTTTCTCTCTCTAATCCTTACTCTTTTAATAAAGTTCGCTAATATTTTCTGCTGCAACAAATTCTTGACCTTCTCTCTTCTGCTCTGGCCATTACATGGAAACTGTTTTCTTGGAGTGGTTCTCTCTCTCTCTTTTTTTTTGCTTCCTAATAAATGTGTTTTCCACCCAGTTTCATCCTCTAGACATTACATTCTTCTGAAGACCTTTAGCATTTAGCATCCAGTGGACCCTGGGTCTTTTATGTCCTACTCTGTTGTTTCAAATTACTTCTCTCCCTTAAACTACACATTGTGTACTAAACTGCCATTTCTTCTAGGTACTTTCAGGAGAATGAATGTTCAGCTCCCATCTCTTTTGCACCTGGCTGGACTTCTCTGTCCCTGTTTAACATTTATGTCGATTCTGCTCAGCAGTAATAAGTGCATGCACCTTTTGGCATTAGGGAATGGGTAGAGAAGAGGCTGGAAATTATACAGTTTCTGCTGGAATATTGAAATCCAAGATAAACCCTTTTGTGAAAAAGTTTGAGAGTTCAAAATTGACCAGCTTAATGAGTTCTCTTCCATTTTCTTTAAAATGTGAATACCATAGCATTGTATCAAACTTTTTGTATTACCTGTTCATTCTGCTGTATTTGGAAAGGAGAAGGGAAAGTCATTTATTGGGACTCCAGTCCCTAAACTGGAGCTGATTTTAAGCAAACAACCAGGTCACAATTGCTTCATGATTGCTCAATTGTTTCCTTTGATCTGAGTCTTACCTACTTTAGCAAGCCACTTTATTCTCTTCCAAAGTTTTATCTTTAGATGAAATTAAGATATATAAACTGTGACAGATATTAAAATCCCACATTTTAAGATAGACACCTTAGCCTTCCCTTCTTTCTCCCAAAAGCTGGGCAGAGCAGGTAGCTGTAGTTTCCCATTAATGTGAGCCTGATGGTCCCCTTGCTGGTTTCTGATTTCAGTACTTTGCCTTGTCTCCAACTTGGTAGGCAGTGTGTGTGTAAAGGGTTGTATTTTATAAGCTGAGGGCTTTTGACTGACTTCAAGAGTTTTTCACAGGCAGATGGGGCAGCTGTCCCCACTCTTCCTCTCCTGCACCTGGGTGGGATGCAGGAGACAAATCCTTGAGTTGCTTAGTTCAGAGAAAGGGCTTCAAGCTAAGCCTCTCACTTTCCAGATGTGCACCCTCCCTCCTGGTGCCTTTATTTCTGGATGTTTAACTCTTGATCCATCATGGAACAAATTGAGCAGTTTAGAGGTGGGCAGCAGAATGTAGTGGCTGCCAGCACACTGACCTGCCTTTCAGGAGAGCAAAATTTGGGTCCTTTGGCTGCACCAAATGGAGCAGGACTTCAGCCTTGCTTTTGAATCTCTCTAATCTTAGACACACGTTTGTGCCCTGGCTGTCTGGGAGGTAAGGCACAGTCTCCTTTTCTCTGTACATGCAAGTCACCTGTGCTAAAACTGGTACACACATCTCACCAACAAAACTTGGGAGGGAGGAAATAGTGTTATTTCTTTTCAAAACATTGTCCACCACTGACTAACGCCCTGTTTTCCCCCTTCTTTTGTTTTTGTTGTTCAGATTGTCGGCTGCTGGATGCTGGGGGGTGTCACGTAGGGGCTGTTTGCCTACAAATTGGAACAGTCCAGCCCTTATTCTGCTAGTGTGCAAACGGTATGTTAATTAACGTAATAACCATGTAGCTGTGGCTTCTTGCTAATTAAGGTTCAACTTACCAGAGATACGATCATGTTACATAAGAACAAAATTTGGTTCAGTACTTGCATGCCCTAGTTTACCCCATAGCTGATAGTGCCTTGCTATATCTAGAAGATAACATCCCTCATTTGGTCCTCTCCTAGTGTCTGTCTCCTTCCTGATCCCTTACATAGAGAAAATTCTGACTGAAGTGACTGCAAGTTTTCCTGAATTAGGAGTGACAGCGTTTTTACCATTTATAGCCTAGGAGTAGCACAGTGTTGGAGATAGAGTAGTAAACCAGTAAATAGGATAAGGGTAACATTGCCTTCACATTCTTGTCAACATGTGTTTTTTTCCTTGCTCAGTGTTACTGAGTCTGGAAATGCCATTTCTCAGTCTGCACATTTCTTTCTCTGGCTTGGAAACCTTGTTCTGTCCTCGAAGCAGTATTGTTCATCGCCATATGGGATAAGGTAATTATTAGCCATATAAATTTTCATTTTATAGGACAGTTCTAATTCCTAAAGGCCAACAGTTACCATGGTAAACCTCATTTCTCTCACGCTTTTCCAGCTGACTGCGTACAAGTATAAATTTCTGTTTCTTCTATGGTGGTACTTTGTGGACCCAGTTTGGTAGGAGTCCCAGTGTACTGGGCACTGTGCAAATTTATCAGAAGATAAAGCCCTTCTCTGAACAATTTGCAACCTTACAACATGTATGCAAGGAGAGTACATTTACATATTTTTGTCCATTCAAAACTTGTTTCAATTCTACCTACTTGTCCTTTAGCCTGTTCTTAATTGACTGTGATTATCATAGAACAACTGTATAGACACGGAGATCAAAATATTTTCTAAAATAGAAGCTAGAAAGGTTTGATTGTGGATTTCCCTTTCTAGTTTTGATTCCTTTTCTTGCCATGTCAACATTTTTGCAGTTATCAGTAGCATCATTGTATTGCTCATAATTACTTTCCAAGGAAGAACACAAATACTCACTGTTTCTATTCAGGCTATTAAAATTGCTCTATCAATCATCCTGGTTTGAAAATAATAATAAATTCAGCCCTTTTTATAGACAACGATAAAAACTTTCCAGCCCTCCCCCTCCTAGAGAACAGCAGGAGAAGATAGGTAATAGCATTTTATTGAAGTCACATTCTTGTTCCCAAGTGAACTGGTCTTGTGGACCAATAAGAAATCCATGGGAGGTGTAATTCTCCCTGTTGTCCTTGATGGTGAGTTACCAGTCTTTTATATACTATGTATTTTTTATTTTACCTAAAGCATATATATATTCTGATACCACCGTAGCATCTTTTAGGATGTAACCACACAGTGGAGGGCAGTAGTAAGACTTGCCCCCTCAACTCTTCACTAATTCTTTCACTTCAAAGGCAAAGTCTTAAAAAGTTGTGTCTTCAACCGTCAGGTGATGTTTAACACCTCACATATTTGATCACCGGGAAAGTAAGCTGGGAAAAAGGGCTGGAGGAAGTTGAATACAGGTCTCTGCAGACAGCTAAGCTGGGAGTTTGTCAAAGCCACTCCATCTAGTGGCAGTCGCTTCGCACAGCTGGTCTGATAGTGCCCTTCAGCAGTTGCTGGATGACCCGAGAAAGGTCTAAAATGATGTTCAGCTTTTCCTTTTCTGGTCTGGTCTTCAAGATAAAAGATGCTTGAAATTTTTGTCTGTTTTTTAGTTTTTATCTGTAGTCATAATTCAGTACTTGCTGTGAATTGCTGCGTGCAGTCGTGGAAACACGTCAAAAATTTTGAGTACCGGTGTCAGTGCACGCTCTCCCTCGTCTGGCAGAGCAGGGTGGCTCTTCATCACTGCTGTCCTGTCTGTGAGGGGACCTTGCCACAGCACACAGCCATCACTCCAGCCCTATCCAGAGAGGACAGATCCGTGCGGGGGATGCATGTTCTCTATGGAGGCTGTGAGAGGCCACAGGGGCTTCTGGAGTATTTAATGTAGAGATCACCATGGGTGTTGAGTAGTATAGGTTTGTGTTCCTGGGCTGTATGGGTTTGGGTTGTGTTGAAGCCAACTGCAAAGAGCAGTGTGGCCACATTGCATGGAGTGTCTGTGTTTGTCCTCAGTGTCTGCTTGCCGTGCCAGGTTTGGACAGAAAAGCTCAGAGAAAAAATATGTGTGTTACTGGGATGTGCACCTGACCAAATGAAAAGACCAGGAACAAGACCACTGCTTCTGCCATTGCCTTTTCAGCCTATGTCAAATCGTACAGCATCTCAGACTGTGACCTGATAACCACAGTGCCAAAGGTCCAGTCTTGTTTTCACTAGACAGCCATGGAAAACCTCGCTGATCTGTTCAGTGCGTTTCAGTAGTGAGCTTATACTGGGATAAACTGGTATCTAAATTAAAATAAATGAATTTCCTGTAAAATGCAATTCCAGATCAGGCAAATGGTTGTTCTACTGCAACTTTAATAAAAATCAACTGCTGCTTGAATAGGTGCATACACACATACAGCTAGAAATTTCCAATTATGATATTCCCAGCAGCAAACAAAACCAAAATTAATGTCAGCAGCATCCCCCAGAGCCTAAACTACATCACTAATGAAGTCCCAAGTACTCCCAAAGAAAACTCTCTTTGCAGATACAATAAGGTAGAAATTACTGTAATAATCTCAATGTAAAAATATAGAGGAAAAAAAAAATCATTGACATTCAAAGTAAGACTTGCCTCTCCTGATCCCATTAACTGTGTTGTTAGCATAGCATATGGATGCATAGTGATACTGTCACATAACTCACTGCCACCTTCAAAAGAACACACAGGAATTCGTGTTTTTTCATTTGTATTTCAAACAAAGCACGGCACCTAATTCTGACGAGTCTATACTTGACATGACTCCAGCAGGGACCAGCTACCTCATAACAATTTGTTTGTCTGCCTAGCAGAAGTGCTCAGTTGCATACAATTTTTGAAGGTTTCCTCAAACATAATCTTCTCGACATGGGGCTGTGGCTTTAATCATTAAAATGGTTTTCTTTCTTCTGTCAAAAATAAGCTGGAATAACAGAGGATACCACAACCATCCTAACATGTTTTTAGAACTACTTGTTTTATTTAATATTTTTGGGTAGTTTTCAAATTAATAACTCATTCTTCACTTCTGATTTTAAACTGGTATTATAATGCCAAGTGTAAAGTTGCCAAACTTCACCCAAAGCAAATTTGTTAAGCAGAGTCATCTTTGCAACGTGTAGATTCTCTAGGAACAGCTGTAAAGCACCTTCTGGAGGAAAAGTACTTTATGTATGGATTGTTGTCCATTTTTAATGTATGCTTCAGTGACATTTCTGTCCCTCACTGCTCATACCCTCAGAATTAAATTCCTTAATGTTGTCTGTCTGTCTAATAATTATATTGTTACCTGCTGAGCAAACTATATCTGCAAAAGCTGACTCAGCCAGTATATTTTGTGCGTTAAGACTATCGCAGTAAGGTTTGTTTATACTCGTCCTTGTTCGCAACACTGGAGTTGCAGTGTCTTCTGGAGGTCTAAGTTCCCTTTAGTTATATTCCCTTTAACTATCAATGTCCAGGCCTGCTTAATGAAAGGCAAAACTTTAAAGAACTGTGGAAAAAGTCTTGAGTGTTCAGATGCTATAAGCAAGGCAGGATAAATATATCATCAGCCAAATGATCTCTGCTTTTAGAAATGCTCCTGATTTCTTATGCTTTTAAGTTGTTGGCTATCAAGTTATTGGTATTGTTGTAGAGAGGAATCCTTTTCTGCTTTCCAATAGTTTTCATGGGAAAACAGAACTGTGGTACCTACTGTGCAAATCTTCTCTTTAGGAGTTGAGGTGATGAGTAGTCTGAGTTTTAGCAGATAGTCTCTTGTGCTCTTTCTGGCCATTTATTGTCACTCGTGTAAAGTGAACAGGTTAAGTCAGTGCAAGCCTATATATTTCATCTGGGATTTCTTGAGTGTCACAAACAATTTCCTCCATTCTAAAACCAAGAAGCAGCTTGGTTTTGCTCCTGTTGTCGGTGTAATCATCTAGATGTCCCGTAGCAGATGCAGAATAGCTGTTACACACAAAAGGAGTAATTCTGACTCTTATTTACATTCAGACCGCTCTCATTCATTCAGGTGGTGGAAGGGGACCCTAAAGCAGATGTTCAATCCATATTCAAGGAATTTTTTTTTGGGCAAAGTAATATAAAGGAGTACTGCATAAGAAGAGCTGTAAGACTTGTCAGGTGCTGGTGAGGGTCCTCTCCCAAGAGTACCCTGACCAGGAGTTGCACCTTGCACTATCCATGAGCAGAGGCTGAACATGACAGGACAGACCACTGACTACCTGGGTACCTTCTGCTGGGTCCCCCCCATTTCTGAGGGGACAGAATGTTTTTGAGGGTGTCCACAGCAGGACAAGTTACATTACCATGCTTCTCACAAGAAGCAGTGGCTCCTGGTCCCTTTTGCCTGGAATTTTGACAAGAGCTACACTCTGCCCTAAACTTGGTTCCATGTTTATCTAGACGAGTGTGAACAACCCTGGTTGAGACTTCTGGTCTATACAGGGCAGATCACTGATTCTCTCACTGACTTAGCAGTGCTGGTTACCTTTCCTGAAACTGCGGGCAGAGCTGGGTAACACCCCGCCTCCCTCATATAGCCCATACATCCCAGTTACCTTAGTTTGCTTAGCAGAAGGAAGAAGTAGAGTAATCTTTGTGTATGAATGTAATGAAGCTATATATTTGTAGGTTAAATCCCTTGCTAATAAATTTTCAATAGCAAATTCAGGATGTTAGTAGACCTCAGGTTGCTGTAACTGGCTAATGTGAATATACAGGCATATTGGGTGAACTGTGAAATTTAGAGTGCATGGCTCTGTCTCCATTGCCTCTCTGTTGTCAAGTTTTCAAAACCCTTGGTGCTTTTTGAAAGAAAAGTAATGAAGGTGATGATTCAGTTTATTGCTGCAGTGGTACTTGGTGTTATCTAAATGAAGCAAGCCCAAGGAGTATTGGTCTGCAAGGTACTTTGCAATCAGAAGTCAAGTTCAGATCTAGAGAAAAATATCTTTCTGGTGGAGCAGCTCAGAAGGTTTTGATGAGAAATGAGAATTGCTTTCCTGTGAAACACTGTGATTCCCTGTGCCTCTGTTTTTCATGTCACTTCTTAATGTAATTCGGTTTTGGTGAAATCCAGGTGATTTCTTTCTAAGTGTTCAACCCACCCTTATTCCCACAGTGGCAAAGTCTAGACTTGCACTGAATATAAGAGAAGGGTTGATTTTGTTTGACATAGTTCAACTAAATTGTTTATGGAGTTTGTCTCCCTGTTTATGTTAATGAAGTCTGATCTTTTCCCCATATAGGATTTCCTCCGATGCATTTTTCTGTCCCCCAAGTCTCTCTGAAACCAACAAGACTGGGGTTATGAAGTCAATCCTAGATGGCCTCGCAGATACAACTTTCCGAACAATCACGACAGATCTCCTTTACGTGGCCTCCAACGACATCCAGTACGAAGACATGAAAGGCGACATGACATCCAAGCTGGGGTACTACCCCCAGAAGTTCCCTCTTTCCTCCTTCAGGGGTGATCCTTTCCAAGAAAAAATGACTACAGGAGATGATCCCCTGTTGAGCATTATTCCCTCAGATCAGGTCAACATCACAGAGTTTTACAACAAGTCCCTGTCCACACTTAAGGATAATGAGGATAATATACAATGCGGGGAGAACTTTATGGATATGGAGTGCTTTATGATCCTGAACCCCAGCCAGCAGCTGGCCATCGCTGTGCTGTCGCTCACCCTGGGCACCTTCACGGTCCTAGAGAACCTCCTCGTTCTGTGTGTCATCCTCCACTCCCGAAGTCTCCGGTGTAGACCCTCCTACCATTTCATTGGCAGCCTGGCTGTGGCCGACCTCCTGGGCAGTGTCATTTTTGTCTACAGTTTTGTGGATTTCCATGTTTTCCACCGGAAGGATAGCCCCAACGTCTTCTTGTTCAAACTGGGTGGAGTTACAGCCTCCTTCACCGCCTCCGTAGGTAGCCTTTTCCTCACGGCAATAGACCGATACATATCTATACACAGGCCACTAGCTTACAAAAGGATTGTTACCCGACCAAAGGCTGTCGTAGCATTTTGTGTGATGTGGACCATTGCTATTGTAATAGCCGTTCTTCCTCTGCTCGGCTGGAACTGCAAAAAGCTCAATTCTGTTTGTTCGGACATATTCCCTCTCATCGATGAGACGTACCTGATGTTCTGGATTGGGGTCACCAGCGTCCTCTTGTTGTTCATTGTCTATGCCTACATGTACATACTGTGGAAGGCTCACAGCCATGCTGTTCGCATGCTTCAGCGGGGCACGCAGAAAAGCATAATCGTTCAGTCAACAGAGGATGGTAAGGTACAGATCACTAGGCCTGATCAAACTCGTATGGACATCAGGTTAGCCAAAACCTTGGTCCTTATTCTAGTCGTTTTAATCATATGCTGGGGCCCTCTCCTCGCCATCATGGTGTATGATGTCTTTGGGAAAATGAACAAGCTTATCAAGACTGTCTTTGCCTTCTGTAGCATGCTCTGTTTGCTGAATTCAACAGTGAATCCCATCATCTATGCTCTGAGGAGCAAGGACTTGCGACATGCCTTCCGCAGCATGTTCCCCACCTGCAAAGGAACGGCACAGCCCCTTGATAACAGCATGGAGTCTGACTGCCAGCACAAACATGCCAACAACGCGGGGAACGTGCACAGGGCTGCCGAGAGCTGCATTAAGAGCACAGTTAAGATTGCCAAAGTTACCATGTCTGTCTCCACAGACACAACTGCTGAAGCATTGTAAGTCAGAAACTTCTCAGCTTGGGAGAGAAGGAGTTAGTTTAAAAAAAAAAATCAACAACAGAGAAAACCAAACCCATGGCTTAACGTGTTTGTACCCTCCTGTAATATTTTTTGGTTTGTCATTGTAAGCTGAGCAATGATTGTGTTAAGAGCATTACCATCAGCCAGTTCTTCAGGTTTTACAATTAGGTGTTCAAGCTAAATTTTCACAAGTTTTTTCTCAAAAAGTGTTTACTGAATAATAATGTTTCCTGAAAGAGCACAGAGAAAATACCAGATTAGCAATGGTTTCTTTTGGAGTGTGAAGAAAAATTGTGAAACCTAATTGAAAAATAACGCATTCTAAACCAATACCATCAAATAAGAAAAAAAAGCCTTGTAATCACGATGTTCATTTCCATGTGAAGTGTATTTCATGTCTGTAATAGGAGTTTCTGATTTTTTCCAAACGCGGCAGTGCTGAGTTTTAGAGGTTTTGTAAAATGTGTCGTGTCCTGTGAATTGTATGCTGTTTTATTGCGTGTTATTGATATTTGTCTAATTAAACAAAGTGATAAGGTAGACTTCTGTGAAAATAATGTGAAACGTGATATGTAAACCCCATTGAAAACACTTACTGTATTTGAAGAATTCCTATGAAGTTTTATACTTTTAGTGGTCTTCTGTGGACTTAGAGGAGAGGCTTTGTGTTCTACTAAAATTATTTCCCAACTACCTTTTATTTTCACATGCATATGAGAGTAACAGCAACATAGGAATAGAGGAGGAATATGAGAAAGGAAAGCACTGGTTCAGACTTTTAAATACCACTGCATTTATGCAGAAGGATGTTTATGGTTGCATAGACTACTGCCCCGCTCTTGGGTGTTGCGTGAATACGAACACTGAAAAGCAAATGTCCCGGATATTGGCTCCTTTAATGGGTAACTGGTTTTAAGCCACGTGCTGGTGCTGGACCACTGAAGACAGCATGTGTCAGACTCAAAGTGCCATGTTATCACTGTGCAGTTGATGTATATTTGAAGTGTGTCACATTCCTGTATCCCAGGTTTAAGCAGATTCAGAGCCTGAGATGCCAAACTTCCGTCTTCACTAAAAGAGGAGGAAATATTGTCAGACTTAGACATTTTCTTATTGTGTGAGCGTGTATATAAATAAATATCTGTGTGTGTACGTGTGTTTGCGTGTGCGTGTGTGTGTAAGTATACTAATCAGTGTGAGTCATGGTAGCATAACTAAGATAGGACACTATAACCAAATGTAACTGTATTTCTTGTTGCACGCTTTGCACATGAATTCTATTTCTAAAATTGAGTTCTTCCAACTGATTACTGATGAAAGTACCATATTAAGAACATCTCGATCCACTCTGAGATGTATATCAATGTATCAGAGAAAGCAACCTTTCAGTTGCTCTTGGGAATAAGGGGAAAAAAGAGGCAGAGCATGGAATGAACCCGCACTGACAACTGCTGTGGCTGTCAATGGTGTTCCTGAAAACTGAGAAAGCCAGAAGTAAATGATAGTTTGTTTTAAGGCTGTCAGTAGTCAAATCTGAAATGAGGTGAGTCTTGAAATGAGGTGAGTCTTGCTGAAACCAGTAACAAGGTTTGACACTACCAGCTGCAAGGAAGAAGCTATTGAAGGAAGATGGTGACTCTGTTCCATGGTGGGATAGTTTCTGCCACCTGAGACTGTCACAAGGAACATATTATGAGATAGTCTTTGAGGCATGGATATTCTGTAATTCTGTTCTGAGTCAGAAGGTCTAGGGTCCTCTTCTCTGCTGCCTTGCTTTTTTGGACTGTTCCCTCACCCTTCTGACTGATTTCTGCCAAAATAGCTGCAAACACAGCTTAGCCTTCTAGTGGCCTGACACTTGCCACAACAGGGGTGACTTTCTCCATGGCACAGGGTGAGTGGAACAAAATCCACGCTGCCCTGCCACTCGTCGTTGGTCTTACGTAGAGGGGGAGGGAGGGCAGCAGCCCAGGGTCTCTGGCTGCCATGACATTCCTGGGACATTTCTAATGCCTCAGTGCAGGCCAGAGCAGCCCAGCCCATTTCAGCCAGTGACTCTGCAGGGATGCAAGTGGCTCCAAGTTCAGGCTTGATGAGTGGTGACATTTCAAAGATCAGATCAGGTCACATTCTGAGCAACAGCTGGAAGAGGCAGGGGTACTTTCCTCCTCCACCCACCTCCCCCTGCAGCTTACTTGGGTGAGAGGGCAGGGCACCATGCTCTCAAGAGGCCCACCACACTCAGCCAAAACCTGTGTATTGCAGAGGACTCCCAGAGGTTGTACAAGTCCTCCTGAAAGATCTTTCTTATATCTAGGTCTAATCCATTCTAAAGAAGTCCTCTGGGAGGAGGAGGGGAAAGCCCATTTGAAATGTAAAGGTATTTTAAGAGCCATTTTTGAAACTGTCTTCTTGTGAATTAAATGCAAACTTTGTGGACTTTCATTGTGCATTCACGTTCTAAATTTTACGTGATAAGTCATGGGACAATGGGGCTGTCTTGGCACTTAACTTGGTGCTTACTGATATAATAAGAAATAGCATCCTGTGAAACGTTAGTGTCTATCATCATCATTTATTTGCATAATGAGTTTTTCTAAAGCTCTGGGAACTGCATCGGTTCACTTAGAACCATTTATTAAGAGGCGGCAACAATTTCCTTACATGTTGCACACTAAGTAGAACTATTCTTTCATTAGAAAAATCTGCTGCCGTTCCAAGAAAAGCTGTACTTAAACTTCAGCTTTAGGTATTCCTACTTTGCAGTTGCCTACCCTCACTAAGTGATAGCACAGCCAAACGATTTTGTGTTCCATGGCCACCCACACCATCATCATCAACCAACCAACCCTTGTTGCAGTTACGTCTGTGTACTGACTCCAAGTGTCACGTATCTACCGAGAAGACCATCTGTGTCACATGCGTGCAGAGTTAGATTCTCAACAGTCTGATTGTATATTTGTATAATATAATCTCCTCAATGCTGTGCAATCACTATCCACATCTTCTTGCACTGGCCTTTTGATGAAAATTTTAGTATGTCTGTTGTGAGATAGGCAGTGCATTTTACCTGCTGTTATTGGGTTGAATGTATGTAAATAAGTGAGAAAAAGTCATCTGTACAAGCAGTGGCCTAAAAAGTCTGCAATTGTAGACTAGGAAAATTGTTGAAGTTGCTGTGACATCTCAAATACTACCTTTGAATAAACTGTTTCCAGGGTCTCTTGGGATGCTATTTCATAGTGAAAGGAAAATCTTTCCTTGTGAGAATATGAGGTAAAGAAATAGAATTACCTGAGTTTTTTATTTCCAGTGTTTTGAAGTGGAGAACATAACTCTTTATTGTCTGTAAATCTAACATTATTACTTCCTCTTAGAAGAATATTGTATCATTAGATGTTTGTTTCAGCTGGTAACATCCTTGCAACTGTTGGAATATTTTTCATTAGCAACCTGTATAATAGTTTGTACACAAGTACTGTTCAGATTGTCATGAAAAGTAGTTTTGACCATTTACCTACCAGTAGCAGAATAGTATTTCTGTAAGATTTTCAGTGTATTCCTACCATATCATATTTTATTTCTATAATGTAATTAAACTGTTATTTATTCAAGGACAAAAAGTATTCCTCTGCTTTTTTGTTTTTCAAATTTTGAGATAACCAAGGAAGCCATGTGATAATGCTGCCTCATTCCACAATCTGGTGCTCTACGTTTTGTTTATAAGTTTGTCTGTCAGATTCTGAAACAACTGCTTAAACAACTTGACAACAGGTTGTCAAGCTTTGTGGGTTTTAATTGTACGTTGATATGTTTGAAGGAGGAGGTAGATTATATATTTTATATTTGTGTATTCAGTACTATGGAGACGAGAGAGAAACGACACAGTTAAAACTGCATCTCCTGTTTCATTATGTAGGCAATTTCCCCTTTCCTCTGTATTAGCCAAAATGCAATAAATTTCTTTTTCCTTCCTTAGATGCATACGTTTGCACAGAGATGTCACATTAAAAGAAACCCATATACTTTGTAAAAACAAAACACAAAAGAGCAGAAGAAAGGAATACAAACTAAAATAGCGCTGCCAACAGCAACAATGATCTAAATTAGTTACTGGGGTTTGTGAATGTACTCAAGAACTTGAGACAGTCTGGTTTTGGCCAGTGCCAGTGGGGGAAGATTTATGGGTGTAGGGAGTGGAAGATGAAGTGGTCCAACAGGGATGTACAGAAGCTGTGCAGGGAGAGCAAGCTAAGCCTTGCCACTGCCTATGGGTTGCACTAAAGTGCTCTTACTGCTGCTCATCCACAACAGAAAGAAAGGGTTGAAATGTCCCACTAAATGCTGTAGAAAGGTCCCTGCCTAATTCAGAGGATCAGTTTTCCATATGGCATAAACGCATGTTTGTTGGGCAATTTTCCTTGTTCACATCTGTGGTCTGAAAACATCCTTAGGGGATGAAGTGAGCATGTCATAGAATCAGAATCATTTAGGTTGGAAAAGACCTCTATGATCATCAAGTTCAAACATGAACCTCACACTGCCAAGGCTTTGGATCATGGCTATGTCACAATACTTTTATTTTTAAAAATTAGGTCACTGGTGAATTGAGAAAGTCTTGGCAATGCAAAAGCAACTAGGAATAAAAGATTAGCTCTTAATCTTTAATTGCATACTACATTTAAGAAGTCTGAATATTTCTGCTAAAAGTTGTCACTTTCAAGGCAGCCAGGAAACAATTCCCACTGTATTTCCCTGCTCACTGGAAGACAAGGGTTATACTGCCACGAACTGTCAACTCCTCCTGATGGTAACACCTGACTGCATTTATAAGTCTATTCTAAACAACACAAGAGGAAATAATGACAGCTTTCCAAGCAACTGCTTTCCCCTGTTATACTGGTTCAGGAAATGTGCAGGCAAATGTACTGTTGTTGTTTCAGCCTTTCATATTAACATCTGTTATTGTTTCCACTCTTCTGACAGATGTTTTAAGAAGTTACAATATCATCATGCACACACATCATCAATAAAACATCTTCATTTTGTTGGTGGGGTTTTTTTTTAAAGTTTTGTCTTCAGTGAAAGTCCAGCTTTGACTTGATTGAAAAATTAAATCATCATATCAGGGAACAGTTTATAGTAGAAGAGAAAAAAGTAATTTTGACTGTGTTTAAGAAAGCATAGGGTGGGGAGTTTTATTTGACACTTATAGAATATATGTCTTCCTGCATTCTTTGTGCATTTGTCTTTTTAGGTACTCGATATAAAGAGTTTTCTTTAAATAGCAGTATAATATACAAAGCACGATTGCCTTTAACAGGACTCCTTAATATGAGCAGCCATCTAATACTGCTCTTTGAAATTCAGTTAGGAGAAAAAGTGATAATGAGTCCAAGGTAATCTTAATGACGAGGCATGACATGCCCTGGTATTGCTTTCCAATAAATCATCTTTGGTATTTCAAGCAGTACTGAGTTTAATGTTAAAGCATTTTAAGCTATTGAATCCTGTCTCAATAAAGTCCGTTGGAATTTTTTATTGACTTCAGCAGAGATGATGTCTTACCCCAGGTTTTTGAACTATGAGCTTGCATTTGGAAAGTGCAATTTTATATTCCAATGTACTTGCATTTTCACTGACATTAAAACAAAGATGGGACAGAATAAATAACAGCTTCTGTATTCATTGGGGGGTTTTACCTCCAAGAAAATATATTTTGAATTTTGGTGGGTCAATGCAGAATTCAAAAGTCTGGCAGGAGCTCAATGGACTTGTCATGGGAGTGAAACAATTTATTTATCCATATGTATGTAGATGGGGTAGAGAACATAATGAGCAAAACTGCTTTTGCTGTTGCCGACAGTTGCTTCCTGACTGCTTGCACTGGTGCTGTTTTGACACTGCTTTTTTCCTTCTCCGATATGCAAATATGTGTATGCATGGTGAAAACAGGCCACACACATTCAAAAGCTTTCCCCCAAATAAGTATCTTCATTTATATTATTTTTTGTTTTATTTTAATAATAATAATAATAATTATTATTATTATTATTATTATTGTTGTTGTTGTTGTTAGTATTATGTGAAGCAATGTCACAGCCACTGATTTCATTAAAGGGAAACCTCTTCTGCCATTCGTAGCCATATCTGGATGCATCAAGCCCTGGCATTGTTGTCTGAACCACTTCTTTTTCCTGATAGATCTCACTGAAAGTCCTTCCAGGGCTCAGCACAACAGGGATACCCCACTTTCCATCAAGCTGAAGAGAGGGAGAATGGAAGGGAGCTGGAAACTCCCTGGTTCTTTTTTGTGCCAGGCTGTTCCTGGAGCTGCTGTGTGTGTAATGTTGTGAGGGTCTCTGGGGACTCCCCCACGGTGCCTCTGTCCTCCAAAAAGGTGATTTATGTGACCTGACTGAGAGCAGAAACCACAGCAAGAGGAGTGAAGAATAATCTTCTCTGGTTGAAACTCTGAAAAGAAAGGAATTAAGACTGTAATGATACAGAGGTGGGGACCTGCTATGCGTCATTTCTAAGTTACGGAACAAGGATTAGGGGTATCATTTTAATAGAGGAATGTGGGGAATTATACAGACTATGGATCCATCTAGTAAACACTCCTCCCAAACCTTCAGAAAGGTAATAATAAATCCTGTAAGGCCTTTCATCAGCTGCCTGGGAAAAAAAAATATAATCATTGTCTCTGCAATACTTAACTTGCAATATAATTCAAAGTCATTTAAAATTATACACCTACCTGCTATCAATGTAGTCTGAGTAGGCAAAATTAATAACAAGCATGCTCAGTAAATCCAAGGTTTAAATCTTTAACTAGAATTTTAATGTCTAAATTGAGTAATACTATCAGTCATGAGAATTACAGTTATCTGCCTCCTTATCTTTTCCTATTTATTTGAGGGATTTTACTTCTCATTCTTATTATAGCCCTTGCAAAACCTGATAGCTCTGTCAGAGGGAGGGACTATATCTCTGCGTGCAGCCACTGATGCTCCTGAGCTGCTTGCAGCAGCAAGGTCAGGGCACCCAGGGACTGCAAAACACTGATCTGGACAAGGAGGCAAAGAGAGAGGATTTGCTACCTCATAGCAAGCCTAGGAGGAGATTAAAGAGCAAAGCCTTCTGGGGTGCAGCTCCATACAGCTTGGGAGGTGCTGGGTGGACACTGTCTCAGGGGAAGGAAAGCTTCATGTTCAAACCTCCCCTTCACTCTCTTCTTGGCAGTTGTTGCTGGGCTTCTTGACAGGAACATGGCCAAAATTATTGTACCCAAGAGTTAGTTCCCATGATGAGGCACTTGCAAACGGATCTGGATGCTTTCTGCCTGTACTGAGTGTGAATTGTGCATAGCTTAAGAGTCTGCATTTTTACCCCAAATTGTTCTTTAAGAAAAGCTTCCACTTTGATCTTTGGAGTTCCTCACTTAGGATCTTGAAGCTGACCAGTATGTGCCTATGTGCATATGATGAAAAAATACACATGTCTACTGTTCTTACAGATAGGTTGCAGGAAGAGTAGCTCACCAGCAAAAGACTCAAAAAAGACCACATTATCCACCAATAAGTTAGGCATTTAGCCCAAATAATTTTCTATGCCAATGATATATACAGGTAAATCACTTAACTCATTTTCCCCTGGGAAAGCTGAGGATCTAGTTTAGCTTAGTTAAAAGACTGATTTGCCTCAATGGCAAGGCAGAAAATGGTTTCATCTGGTCCTGGGAAGGACCACTCCTATAGTGACCAACATCTGACCTCCTAAACAGATATAATCAGAGAACTATTGGGTCTCTCATTCAAGAGATTTAGTCCTGGTTTGAAATGAGTGTCCATAATTTCATTTCTTTTTAATCCCATTCAAAATACCACTGGTCCTGCAGATGCTTTATTTTATTATTGCAGACACGATGAAGCTACTGGCTATCATAAGAAAGAACGGGGTATGTTCGAACTCAGTGCTGCTCTATTCTTACACTTTAGCTCTTTGCCCTTTCTTGCTGATTACATGAGGCTTTTAAATAGTTGTTTGGGATCTAATCTTAGCAGCTGTGTCAGCTGGCCCCTGCTGAGACTTAAATCCTTTTGCTGACCATGGAAGTGTAGAGTGAAATCTCGAAAAGGAACATGTCACTTGCCTTCTAGAGAGCAGTGTGGAGGTGGGAATGAATAGGAAAGCGTTTTTCATAGGAAAGCGAACAATGGCAAAGCATGAGAACATGGGCTGATGAACATTTTCTGTGGTCCCATGCCCTCTGGCAGTTTGTTCCTTCTCTCTATTCTGCCTCCTCCATAGTGCTAACACAAGTGCTTGCATGCCTGCCTGATGAGTCAGATCTGGCTGAACCCATCCAGCTAAAAAAACTTTTTTTTTTTTTGGTTTTGGACATGTTATGCCTTCCAGATCATTTCCAGACTGCATGACCTGGGTTTAAGAGCTGGGAACTGGTGCAGAATTTGTCACGCAGGCAACTCAACAGCTCCATCAAACATGGTTCCTGCTGTGCCAAGCGTGTTACAGGACTTTCAGGGTCTTGTTGTTCATTATCAAAACAATCTAAAAGTGTTCTGCACTTCCAAACAGGTGCTTTGAGGGAAACTTGAGT